CGATTCAATTCCTGTAAAATCAGTGCTGCCGGAAGCTCGTCTTCAACATCTAGGCTTCTTGCAGCGATCTTGTGGTATGTTTGCGAGTCGTAATTCCATTGCCGGAATTCTTGTCGCATTGAATTGTCAAACACCCACCCGTACTCACCAAACCCTACATTCATATCATTCGCTCCTTGCCCCAGGAAATTGACATATCCCGAGTCGTACTCTTCTTCTGGTTGATTGTTGGTAGTTATCGTGTGGCATTCGTCCCGATTCAGTTTAGCGTAGCATAATTTCGTCCAATCAGATTTCGCAGGGTATCGCGTATCGCTACCCCGCGAAATGTGATTGGACACACCTATCCCACCCCTGCCGTTCTGCCTTCTTTCTGGGATTCTTTTATCCTTTCTAGAGAGTCCACTCCCAGTGCAAACTCTCTCCATTAGTTTTCCGGGCTGGGAATTGCAAGATAACGATGTTGTTCTTTGGCCTCAGGGTCCGCCGCCATGAAAGTTGCTGTTCCTGTTCCACATTCCGTCGTGATTTTACATTTGCATTGACCATTTGTAGTCCATGACATCTGTAATCTGGATGCGGAACACCATGGTGCTCCCAATATGATTGACCTTGATAGATTACTTGTGATCCGAAAGCTAGTGTAGATTGTAACACAACCAACTTTGATTGGCACATCTATAGCCACTCCCACATAAGGATCCACCGAGCCATTGGCAGTGACCAAACCTCCGGGTCCGTCAGCTCCTGCCAAGTTATCCACTACTAGACCCATTGCATTTGCGGCTGATAATCGCATGACGTTCATCATGGAACCACTGTCAATAAGACACCTTGCGCGGCAATCATAAATTTCTGCCCAGCATTCTGGAAGATCTCCTTGAATTAAGACGACTCCAGATATCTTGTCTTCCATCCGGACCATCTGTTGATTCTTGAGTTGTTCGTGTTCATTGAAAGTGTCTCCATAACCAATGATTTCATGCTTTGCAGCAGTGTTTACCTGCCCTACTAGCACTGGATAATTGGTTTGAACAGCTGAAATTGCATTGACACCATGAAACTGTGTATCTCTTGTTTCAGGAGCATTGTTATCTCGATTTTCGTCATTACCCTCATCAGTATCCTTGATTAATCGGTTTAGGATTCTGCGGGTGGGCGGGTTAGACATGATATCTGCTAAAGATATTCCTCGAACTTCTTGCTGCAATGCAAAATTCACAATGCGGTTTGGGTGTTGGCGTAGTAATGCCCCTAGCTGCTCATCTTCCAGCATTACGTCAGATGCCTTAGCCTTTCTTTTCGCAGTAGGTATTGGGGATAATGTTGGTTGCTCTTCTCTGACTGCTGCAGTGGGATGATCAATATCCCTATTGTCCACCGGCCATGCCAGCGGATCTGCAGCTCCTTCACTGGCTGCTCTTGGTTGAGTGTCTTGACTATCAGTCATCGCTGGTGTTTCTTCGCGAATATCCACCTCCTCCGCAATTGCATTGCGGAGTCGGTTTGTAACTCTTCCTTTGGTTGGGAGAACTCTCTTTTCCACTCTCGTGTTCGGACCTTTCTGAATTGCAAACGTTGTAGCATTTCCTAGTATGCTATCATCCATTACATGAGTATTGCTCAGTTGAACACTGCTCACAATTTCGTTCTGGATTCCTTCTGCAAACTGCTGTGCATGTTGACTTATCGTTCCTTTTTGTTTATGGTTTTCCATGCCTGTAATGCTGTTCACCCCTTCTGACTGAGAGTTTCCTTCTTCTCTTTTCATGATGGTGTAGCTAGGGTTACTGTCTTGTCGAAAACCAAACTTATTTGAGCGTATAGATGTTGCAACCTCGTTCAGGTTTTCTTTCCTGATCTGAAAATACTGCAACACTTGTGGTTCAATCCATTCATATATCCTTTCGCGAGGGGGATTCCCATCCATTTGTCCCAAGCTTCGATTTCTTGGACCAAAGAAGTATCTCCATTGGCCATCTTCTTCTCTTTTACTGTGTGCCCACCCATTCTTCAGCAATCGAACCCAATCCTGACAGTCCTTCAATAGGTGCCCTGCAACTCCACACATGTTGCAAGTCAGGCGATACTCTCTTCCTGATGAGTTCCACTTGCTATCTCTTTCGAAATTGGTGGTTCGTGGTTGGCTGGTTATATATGAACCATCATTTCGCTCATTCTTTAGAGGCTCAGCTCTTAGCTTATGTCTAACCAAATACATGTAATTGGTTGGCTCGCTTAGAAACCGGGAGTAGTAGTCGTGTTTACTAAGGATTTCAATTTGACTCATTGTGAGGGTCATGTCAGCCAGATCCTGAACTAGCTTATCCACTTCTGGATCCACGCCTTTTGGCAATTTGGTTGGTTCTTGCCGTTCCACTTCTTCTTCCTGTAGAGCTCTGATCAATTCCTTCGCAGGGATATCCCCTGCGGAGAGTTGATTGTTTTGAATAATTGAGTTGCTCTCAGTTCGTCAACTTTCTGAGCTTCCGGCGAGAACTGCTGCAACCCAATCTTTTGTACATGCATCTTTTGGGTAAAGGCAAACAACTCTTGGAATTTGAAGGTGTTGATTTGGTCTCCTACTGGCCGATCCTTCTCTGGCATTAGAAACATAATGCGTTCCTGGTCCTGCGAACATAACCCTTGGAAGAAATAGTATCCTACTTCTTCCTCACTGATTTGCTTGTTCTTCACTGCAGCCTCCGAGTAAGTGGAGAAGGTCGCATAGTAGAGTGAGAAATCCAAGGATTTTTGATGGCTTTCATTGACAAATTTCGCCAGGAATGCTCTGGTTCCAGTTCGGGTGGCAGAGTCGCTGTACGCATATTGTCTCACTAGTTCTTCTTTGAATTCATCCCATTTTGCTTCCTTATATGGCTTCATCAACTGTACCAATCGTCCATAGGTTGGTTCGCAGAAGTCAGGAAGCAGTAACACTTTTTGCCGGTCGTTGTATCCAGCCATTTCGCATCTTCTCTCGTATTCTTCCAGGAAAGTTGATACATCCTTGCTTGCAAACCGAAAGTTCGGGTAATGATGTGGTAGAAATGGGATTACTCGATCCATGGTTGATTGATTAGAAGAATTTGAAGTTGTCCTTGATAGTGGGCTGGTTGGTATTGACTCTGGCAGAGGCGTTTCCAATGCTTCCTCTGACAAACTTATAACAGATGGGCTGATAGTTGTCATTGATTCCCTTGCTTCCTCGTCTTTCTTATTTTTCTTCCTTATATCCTACATGTATTCGGGTCCCCATCGTGAAGAAAGGGTCCCCTCCCGGGTATTCGTTATCTAGTTCCACGGTTCCACATTTGTTGGGATACTACCAGGGATCCCCTCTTAGGATTCCCGCTCGGGTTTCTGTTACCTTCTTGCTCTTGATTTTTCAGGGTTTCTCTGTTACCCTACAATACTGGTCTTTAACTCGGCATCTTTGTATACCTCTTT